TTACGGGATGAGATAAGGGAGCGAGGATGGCCAAGGCCTAGGGCTGCTTAGACTCAGACTGGTGGGCCGCCACCCATAGCTTAGTGATTAGATTCAACTCCGCGATCGCTCTCGAGCGAGCGAGCGCCGTGATGGGGCCTCGCTCGTTGTCAACAAAGTCTGGGGATGCAGCCCATTTTGTGGACTCCGTTCCCCGCACATGCACACAGGCATAACGGCGGACTCGTCCCTGTCTCCGATTCTGTTCTGACGCTAGATCATTCTCCGTGTGCCTCGCAGCCCTAAGCCGATGCGAAGGTACACAAGCATGAGGAAAAGGTAATTCGCCTGCTCCCTTCCGACCCTTTCGTGCGAGCACGGCCCACTTGACGCCTCCAACCGCCTCGCCAAAACCTTGCAGACTGTCAGCCGCTCTTCAACCTTTCGGCTCGAACTCCTTGCCCCAACTTCGCACCCCGCGGCATCATCTCCTTCTCTCACCCACCGAGCTCAAATCACGGGCTCCGCATGTCGATCAGTTAGAAGAAGGACGGACGTGTACAGGCGTTTGCGCTACAATTCGGCCCCTCCAATCTCAGCCGTGACGTCTTTAGGTTATATACTTACACCTCCTCCTTTGAGGTCCCCTATTCGCGGTACCTGATCTCCTCCCACGTCTTCCGTCCCCATGTCCCCCAACAGGTTCCGTGTCGCAATTTGGTACGCTTTTATCTCGTCCCCTTTGTCCGAATATCACTGACCTCGTTCCCGCGTTTCAGCGGAGGTGGAGTCGGTGGCCTCGTCTGTGCCGTTGCTCTCTCGCGTTACCATGACATCCAAGTCGACGTTTACGAGGCCGCCAACGCCTTCACTGAAATCGGGGCGGGCATCGGCGTATGGCCAAGGTCTTGGAAGATACTCTGCTCTCTTGGTCTCGCCGATGACTTGTCCAGAATAGCCATGGTCCCGCCGAGCGACGTCCCGAGTGCGTATTCTGTCGGCTGCATGGTATCCTTCCTTCCTTTCTAGTCACGGCTCTAATCGATTCAATAGAGGTTGCATTCCATTTCCGGAAGGGTGACCAACCTGAAGGCATCAATTTCTCCACGCTGTCGACACCAGGTAATCATCGTTCCCTATGCTTGTAGAGCGCAGGCTAAGTTCTTCGGTCCCATTCGTCCGAAGGAGGCCTACTCGCTTTCCACCGCGCGGATTTCCATGGAGTGCTCCTCAAACGCTTAGGACCCAAATGCCGGAAGTTCACAAACAAAAGACTTATCTCGTACACCCAGTCCAAGAGCCGGCAACCGAGGGTACAATTGCATTTTCAGGATGGCTCCACTGAGATGTGTGACGTCCTCATCGGAGCGGATGGCGTCAAATCGGCGGCGCGCAACTGTCTCGTCGAAGAACTTGCGCAGATTGCCCGGTCGGAGGGGCGACATCATGACGCGCAGCAAGTGCTAGCCTCTGCCCAGCCGAAATGGAGCGGGACGATCGCGTACCGTTCAATCATCTCAGCAGAGAAACTACGCCGAGTATCACCACATCACCGAGTGCTCGAGCACCCCATGCTGGTATGTCTGCAAGTTGCGCCCTCGCCAATTCCTCGATCCGCTGACCTCCCCCGTTCACTGCAGTATCTCGGGGAGAACTCAGTAAGTCCTGACAGCGACCGCCTCGGTACCGCACGATGTCTGACGACTCCACAGGAAATCACAGTATACCCAATAGCGAACGGGACGATGATCAACTTTGCTGCGTTCCGGGCGCGATACGATGCCGAAGACACAACCTTTAATGGTCCGTGGGTGCACGACGTCAGTCAGTCTGACTTCCTTGCCGACTTCGACCAATGGGAGCCAGAGGTGCGGGCTCTTATCCAGGTGCGTGACTGTATCGGTGGATCCCCCGTGATCGCTCCAGCTGAGGGCGTCTATAGTCAACAGAACGGGTCAACAGGTGGGCCATACATACAACGTTGCCACTACCTTCCTTCGTCGTTGGCAGCGTGGCTTTACTCGGAGATGCGGTGCGTATCATTCGCTCCAAGCCCTCGGACTAACATTACTCATACGTTTCTATGGCAGGCGCATGCTATGATGCCCTACCAAGGTGCAGGAGCGGGCCAAGCGATCGAGGTGCATCTTACACCAGCTTCACTCACCACCTATTTTATATGCCCTCACTCACATCGTCTGCCATTGCTCGCTCTCCAGGACGCGTACATCCTCGCGACCGTACTAGGCGACCGGCGAACAACCCTCTCAACACTCGATCGCGCGCTACGCACATACGACAAAGTCCGACGGCCATTCGCGCAGCGCATACAGGACGCGTCGCGCGCGGCCGGCTTGCTCTACACCCTCAACTACCCCGGGCTAACATTCGACCGGCCGATAGTGTCGTGCGAGCCGGGGAGCGTGGACGGCGAGAAGCTGTCGGAGATCCACACGCGGCTACGACTCAACTGGGAGTGGGCGTGGAAGACGACGATAGACGGAGATGCCGCGAGAGCGCTGCGCATGCTGGACGAGCCTTCGAGTTGATCGGATCTGCTCTCTCCGTGCTGCAGCTGCAGGAGGCGAGGGAGGGGAGGGGGGTAGGGGGAGTTTCGGATTGATTTATTCATTACTTACTACATAGAGCTGTCGTGATGCGCCCGTTTAGATCGGATCGAAATAGTAGGATCGGGATCTTGCATACTTAATGGTACGTACTTCCGAACTCCCTCCTCTCAATGTCGCTGGGACGGGGCTGACCTGACCCCACAGTGGTTTCCAGGTATCGTATAGACGCAGTAATCGTGTTGTACATCTATACGACCGATGCCTTTCACACATCTGGAACTGCACTGAAGTCCAGTCATGCCGCTCTCGTGCATCATATTCGAGCCTATTGTCAGGACAAGCCCGACGTGATATGTACTATGACCTCATGATTGCTTGCATACATCGACGGATATGTTACATCCTCAAGGTGCTGTGTACGAAAATGTTGTCAAGTCTTCTAGCACTGACTTTCTCGCACAGCCCAGAGCCCCAACCATGTATTGTGCAAACGTACACGCTCAACATCAGTGATATTCGCGTAGGTATGGCGTAACGGTGGTGTGGCGGAGGTTATCAACATTACGTCATAGCCGTAGAATCTGATTCCTGTCGCTCGGTGCGTCAGTACCTGCTTCACAGCTAACAGCTAACAGCAGTACTATGATGAATATCAGTGGCCAACATCTGCGGCGCCGGTGACAAGTGCCACGCGCCCCGAGACGGGGTCCGGATGCTCGTGGGGTCCGATACATGGTTCTCTGAAGAGCGTCCGACGGAGTCGAGAGTGTCGAGGGCACGGTTACGCCGTGGGATCCGTGGTACAAAAGAAGTGCTCATGGTGACATCCCGGCGCAGTGCTAGGTTTGAGATCAGTCCAAGAAGGAGGAACGTGAGAAGCTTTCCGAAGAGAGCAGTGGCCAATTCCCACCATACAGCATAGAGTGGGATCGATGTGAGTAAGTAGCTCAAGCCAATGCACAGAGTTTGGGCCGCTGCTTCTGGATTGTGTTCTCCTAGTCCAGCCGCTCCCCGAGCAACTCCTCAGTCAGGTCAGCGCACAACGTCCAGAACTTGTCAGCAAGAGCCTGGTCTTTGGCCTGGCTACCAGGCTTCCCATACCGCTCATCATAGCAGTTGCCCTGCTGATGTCCCATGAGGAGCACGTATAGTGCGGGGTAACGAGTCGGCGGAGCTTACCTGGAAGTCGGACCAATTGCTCTCATTGATGTCTGCGGGCTGGTAGCTGCCCAAAGACTAGCTTCCGCTCCCTCTTCCGCGCTCTTTCCTGCCGTTATGCTGAGCACTTCCAGCACCTTTCCTGTGGCGCCGTACGTCTCCGTCCAAGCCTAAGACGTCTGCAGATCGGGATTGACGGCTCGGGATGGACCGATATCGCCAGAATCGGATTCCGGAGTCCGGACAGCTTGCGTCGCGCTAGCCCACGAACGAGGAAGATCTGGCCAAGCTTCGTGTGGCCGTAGCTATCAACGAAAGCGGGATTGAATGTTCTTCGCTAAGGTGAGGCTGGCATCTTACAGCAGTGTTCCATCACGCTCTTCGTTGATCTCCTCTTTCGTTGCGTTGAACTAGGCGCAGCGAGCATGGGGCGCACTGCTCGTTGTGCTTTGTATCAAGGGCAGAGGACGATGCACGACAACGTAAGTAGTGCGATATGTTGTTCCCCTTATACGAGTGGAGGATATCGTTGTCAGTGCCATACTTGCTATCGCTAGTGACACTCGCAGTTCACTCACCTCAAAGTGTCTCTCCAGTCCGTCTGGGGTCAGACCATACCAAGCCTGTCTGATGCCCACGTTCAAGATCAAGATGTCGGGGCGGCCCGGGGTCTCTTGCGAAGAAATCTGTTTCGCAAGTCGGTCGACCTACTTGAGGTCACCTTGGTACCACTCGACGCAGCCCGAAGAGCCGCTCTACCTAAGTGCATAGTTGAGCTCTGTCTCTGCGCGTGTATCGTGCTCCGGGTTGGCGGACATGATCGACACTTTCACGTTGTGATAGACTATCCCCGCAGACCTTCCCGTCACGAGCGCGACGCATCCAGTGAGATCTGGGAACTGCTCCATCAGTGTGGCAAGGTTAGTAGAATAGACGGAGACCGCAAGAAGAGGCCTGCCTGTCGCGTCGCGTCGCGTCACGTCATCTCAAAACAGCCGAAGACAAGTGATTACGACATCCGGCCTCAAAGTAGAACTTCCCAATAAATACGAGCTGGAGGCGTATACATGGTACAAGGCTGGCGCATTGGAGCCAGGAGTACAATAGTGGAGTGCCTGGGATCCGGAGTAAGTCATGGTCTACGTAAGTGCAGCGTAACGCGTTTACACATATGCATACGTTGCTTTGGTGATTCAGTCACGAGCACTACTTAGTGTCATGGAACTGCATGAACTACGTTGGTAGTTTAAGCTACCAATGGGTATATATCGCGCAAGCTAGGTAATTATATATGGCCGACTAGCTCAGTTGGTTAGAGCGTGGTGCTAATACTACTCCGTGGAGTGTGTGTCACGCCAAGGTCGTCGGTTCGACCCCGGCGTTGGCCAGCTTTTTTCCTGCTGGACCCCAAAAACCGTGGTGAGCTGTATGTTCAAATCCTGCAAGTCTTTGCTTATTTCATTCCCTTCCACACAGCGTCCTCTGCTAAATCTAGCCGCAGCCGTGTGCATTGACCCACTGCATGATCATTGGTATGTTCGTCGGTAGTGACTACTCTCGCTAGTCGAGTACTCACAAGAGTCGCTGGTTGATTGACTAGTTCTGCATGAGACTGCGGACGGTGCGCCAACTTTGGAATCTCTCAGGGCAATGCTATCCGTACTCTGATCCTCTCTGACTCAATAATGGCATTTCGGTGTCGGGCTGGTCTTGGCCCCGGGCCATAAAATACTACCCACTCAATTTCGCTGGAGGCTTCCTTGTTTGCTCCTGAGGATACTCGGACCGGGCTAGGCAATTCAAGCTCTTCAAAGTCCTCTTAAAGCTGTGCTTAGCCCCCAGTAACAGTCGTCGAACGTCATCAGGAAGGCGGCGAGGTTGTGGGACTTATCTGAGCACCCGTACTGCACGGGGATCCTCCCCGAAGAGACTCCCCAATACGCTCTCTTGGCTCTGGGCTTCCCTCGGTACGTCTTCTGACCCCTGTTCTGTGAGAGCAACTTAACATCGTCCGCGTCCAGCCCGCGACCCTACCCTTGCTCCGCAGATCGCGGACTGAAACGTCAACTTCCCGGGGGCAGCTCGGAGATGGATAAAATAGCATCATGTGTTACCTTCATAGGACGGTTTTGGCACACCCCGCGCTGACGGGTACCCCGTAACGGTCGTTCCTGCACTGCCAGGTGTGTAGAGGGAAAAGGAGCTGCATCGACTCTCCCCCCACATCGCTGCGGTCATTCAGGAAAGATGTCTAAAAAGTGTCTAGGGGAGTCTCGGCCGATGGCATAACGTGCGTCTCTCGCTCTGTCTATAAATGTTCGTGTGGGTAAATCATCGTCGCCACCGTTCGGGTCAGCGGCGGCCCTGTCATCCCGCTCTCGGTGCGGACCAGGCAAATCGCGCTCTGACCCGCTCTAGCTCGAAGAATGCAGCCGCGACGAGTATGACGGTGCCGACGGCCATGAGGACGCCGGAGAACAGGATGAGGTTGTCAAAGTGCGCCGCATCGACCGTCTTGAGAAGCGCTCCGCCAGTCGGTGTCCCGACGAGGGTCGCGATGGCGAGGAAGATGTATACCGAGCCTGTGAACCTGGGACGTCAGCGACTCTGCATGTGACTGATGGCATCTGTATACGTAGGAAAGAAGCGTCGCGAGAGGACGTGAAGTGACGTACCGAGTCGAGCGCCGTAGACCTCCCGCGGGGTGATGACTGCGATGTAGGTCGCAAGGAGGGAGACGAACGCCCCTATAAAGGAAGGATGTACGTCAGACTGGGGTGGTCACCAGGATACGATAGAAAAATGCCAACCCGAGAAAAGACCGTACAGCGCGGCAAACGCAATGATCTCACCCGGGTTTCGTGAGGGGAACCAGAGACCCAGGATGAATATAGCGCAGAACGCGGCAGCGGGGATGAAGACCTTCAGGCTGGCGATGGTCGATTCGCGTGAGCTTTCTCGGTAACTGGTGATATTAACGTCAAATTACTCACGGTCCGTATCGGTCGGCAAGGAAGCCAGGAAGAATCCGGGAGGGGATATTCATAGCATTCAGGATGGGAAGGAGGTAATTGGCAATGTTGGACGGGACGCCGCGGAAATTCGCATATATCTGGACGTAGACGTATGGGATGAAGAGCGCGTAGAACAAGCTAACCGGTATTGTCAATATGCTGCGTGGTCATTTTAAGGCGCGGTAGGGGCCAGAATGTAACACGCACATGAACCCGCCGATGGTAGCAAGGACGTAGCGCACGTCCTTGAATCCATGCAAGTCGACAGCGGTCCGCCAGGAGATGTGTCCAGATAGGGGAAGCCGGGTGCGGATGGTGAGGCAAGCGACGATGAAGCATGCCATGATGATAAATGCAATGACACGAGTGGCCCAGGCAAAGCCGATGACAGGGATGAGACGCTGGAGAAGGATCGGAAAGACGACACCGCCGACTGCTCCGCCGCTGAGGACGATCCCGATAGCGGACGCGCGCTTGCGTCTGAACCAGTGACTGACGACGGCGACGCAAGGGTTGAACATGAGGGCAATACCGATACCGAAGAGTACGCCCTGGGACAGGAAGAGCTGGTATGCGCAGTCCGGTTGTGTGAGGGAGACCATCATCATCGCGAAGACGCAGACGAAAGATCCAAGGGGGACAAGCACCTGCACACAGATAGTCAGCGCGTTGTTATGCGGCCGGGAGACGACAGACAGACTGAGGTGCCGTATGCGTCAAAGATGCGCCCGGTGAGCGGGCCAAGGCCATATAGGAAGAATACTTGGAGGGACCCGATGAGGGCTATCGATGCCGATGACGAAGACGGGAGGAGCGTCGACTCATAGTAGTCCTGAAATGTTCCCTGTAAAGAACAGTATCAGCGAGCTGAAGATGATGAACGCACGGAGAGCGACCAACGTATGCGTTGATCATCCCCGCCGACGCAAAGAGCGCAAGTGTAGATCCCAGGACGACGGTCCATGCCTCCCTGCCGCCGTCTGGAATGTACTCGAGCTCGTCGATAGCCGATGCTGGCCTGTCAACGTTTGCAGTCGTTGTGTCGACGACATTGCCCTGGGCCTCGACTTTGCTTGGGTCTTGAGGCTTCTCTGCTGGGCTGGCCATCGCGAAGGTGGGTGACTGAGCTGAGTGAGGAGTCAGTAGGAGTCAGCCACTGCCCACAACGCGAGTATAAATAGTCTTGTGTTGGCTGAGAAGTTTTCATTCTCGCGCCCACAAGCGACATCGCAGAAGGCTGCCACTCTCCGTGCCGGACGGCGGCAAAGAGGTCACGATATGCACTCTTCCTCATGGCTGGCGCGTCTTCTTCTGTCAGTGTGAGCGTGAGGCCTGAATTGCGAGTGTACATAAAGCGACAATGACCAGCGGGTGCACAGGTTGACCCGGTAAGGCTTATGTACGGCTTATGCTAGAGGGCACGGTATGGCCGGTTTCACAAGACAATAGTTAGAGGTGCTGGAGTTGACTAGCGACTCGGAGGTTCCCTTGAGGCGGTACAGTGAAAAGCTGGCCACTGGCCCATGTTCCCCAAATGGCAAACGTTCACTTTCTAAAAGGCTAACTTCTTCCCACGATGATACCTTCCCTTCTCAAGAATTGCGTGCTTTGTCATCACTCTTTCGTCCACATTGCAATACATTTGGGTCTGGACCAGTCCTCAGAACTCAGCCCTATCCTCCTCCTCATAACAGACACCATGACCTACTCACCCTGGCCAGACTGTGCATCCTATCGCGTTTCCCGTCCGATGTCCTATGCTCATTGTGACGCTCAGGAAGCTTTGTAGAATCGAACCCTCTTCATGGAGGCTCTCGAGCCCGGACCGCATTGATCAAGCGCTCGAATCTTGCTCTCACGAAGTCTTCGGAATTGGTGTCAGTATCAGTTCCTCTCGAGGTTTGTACCCAAAGGATGACACGAAAATCCCGGCATGACACGAACGTGCAGTCAGCGTCCACCACCTGGTGCAAGTCTCGCTCCGCAGCGTTACCTACCACCGCAGCTCGTGACACCCTTCGCATCGCTCTAAGTTTTGTGAAGGGGGGGGTGATGGATGTACAATAACGATGTTGGTATGCACTGCTTTCATATCTGGGTGAATTCCGTGTCAATCATCCTAAGTCAGCGTAGACATATAGTCGTCGGATAGTAGATCACGGAACTATGCGAACAATCGGCAGGGAAGTATATATAGCCATGACGTCAGTGTCGGGTGGACGCAGAGAGACTGGTGACCGTATCGTAGCCGAGGGCCAGTCAACATTCTCCCCGCGATCACTCCATCGAAAACACAACGAACATACCCAATGGCTCCCAGGCTTCCCGACCAAGGTTCGCCTCCTCTTCCAGCTTCCGCACTACCTCCATCATGTCCTGCCCTCGTGCACGAACTCCCATTCGTCGTGCGCCGGTATTAGGTGGTGCTCTCCGGTCGTCGTTGTCGAACCAGTACTCACCTCAGAGTTCAACTTTCGATCCACAATCAAAATTGAACAACCTAGTAGTCGAAACCATCACATGAGGTTACGACTCGTTATTATATCGACAAAAGGAACGACTCTTACAGCGGCCTCCCAGGTATACGCAAACAACTCGCGCTCCTCCGCAACGTACTGCATGCAGTGAAGGCGATGCTCGCTACGTTGGACGTCTTAAAACATTTCGCAAGCAGGGTCAAAGCCGAGGATCTCGACGGTACGGCGCACCTTCCGCAGAGTATAATACATGCGGCCTTCAGGATACAGACGCAGATGAAAAGGCACACAGGCCTCCATTTCCCAATCGCCGGACCGCCTCATTTCGGTCTTCAACTTGTATAGGTCCTTCGTGTCTGTCTGGTACTATATTGATGTCGGCCGCGTAGGCACGGGTGACTCAAGATGCCGGTGAAGCGCAGTACACGGATCCAGACGTTACGACACCCGTCTGACCGGCCTACTACACATGGCCCTGCGCAGAGGATGTCAGAGGGTCCACGTCTGGCGAGACACCTCCCACGTAGGGGAAGAAGAATTCGGCGAGCTTCTCCTTACGTTCGGCTCCACATTCTGATATAATGGTTGGCAGGATCTCCGCGAACTGCGCCTGGATAATCGTTTCGGATAATGGCGCGTTGGCGAGCGGCCCGCACCTACATGTGAGAGCAATGTCTGTAAATGCCGCCGATACGCCATATACACGTCGCTGGGGAGCTGCACGTAGTGGGTACCTCGCGATTAATCTGTCGACTTGGGCTTTCTCCGATCTCCGAAGGTTGAGATTGCGAGCAAATGCTAGATGCAAGTCAGTGAACGAGCATCTATCGCTCCTCTGACCATTCACGCACCCCCCTGGAGACCAGTATGAATATTGAACATTTCAGAGAGCGTCTC